GCGTGCGCGTGTGCGTGTGCGTGTGCGTGTGCGTGTGCGTGTGCGTGTGCGTGTGCGTGTGCGTGTGCGTGTGCTTGTGCGTGTGCGTGTGCGTGTGCGTGTGCGTGTGCGTGTGCGTGTGCGTGTGCGTGTGCGTGTGCGTGTGCGTGTGCGTGTGCGTGTGCGTGTGCGGTGTGCGTGTGCGTGTGCGTGTGCGTGTGCGTGTGCGTGTGCGTGTGCGTGTGCGTGTGCGTGTGCGTGTGCGTGTGCGTGTGCGTGTGCGTGTGCGTGTGCGTGTTTGTGCGCGTGCGCGTGCGCGTGCGCGTGCGCGTGCGCGTGCGCGTGCGCGTGCGCGTGCGCGTGCGCGTGCGCGTGCGCGTGCGCGTGCGCGTGGGCGTGTGCGTGTGCGTGTGCGTGTGCGTGTGCGTGTGCGTGTGCGTGTGCGTGTGCGTGTGCGTGTGCGTGTGCGTGTGCGTGTGCGTGTGCGTGTGCGTGTTCGTGTGAGCGTGAGGGTGCAAGTGCAGCTGCGGGCGCGGGAGCGCGCGCAGGTGCAATTGCGCGTGTGGGCGCAGGTGTGTCTGCGTCTGTGTCTTTGTTTTTGTGTGCGTCCGTGTCCGTGTCCGTGTCTGTGTTTGTGCGGGTGCGTGTGTGTGTGTGTGTGTGTGTGTGTGTGCGTGTGAGCGTGCGTGCACGTGTGTGCGTGTGCATGTGTGCCTGCGCATGTGTGCGTGTGTGTGCGCGTGTCCGCCCGGGCGCATGGGCGTGCACGTGTGTCTTCGCGCGCGCGCGCGTGCGGGAGCGCGCGTCCGCTTGTGCGTGCGCGCGCGTGTGTGCGCGTGTGTGCGTGTGTGCGTGTGAGCGTGCGAGCGCCAGTGTGTGCGCGCGCGCGTCTGCGTCTGCATCTGCGTCCGCGTCTGCGTCTGCGTCTGCATCTGTGCGTCTGCGTCTGCTTCTGCGCCTGAGCTCGACTCGGCACCCGCGTCCGAGGGCGCGCGCGCGTCCGCGTCCGCATCCGCGCGCGCGCATCCGCGTCCCATTCGAGCGCTCGCGCGCCTGCACGTGCGGTTGAGCGCGCAAGTGCGCGTGTGAGTGCGCGTGCGAGAGCAGGTGCGGGTGCGGGGCGGGTTCCTGCGCGCGCGAACGCGCGTGCGGGCACGGGTGCGGTTGCGGGTGTGGGCGTGGGCGTGGGCTGGGGCGGGGGCGTGTGGGTGTGGGTGTGTGCATGTGCGTAAGCGTGCGCGCGCGCTGCACGCGTGCGTGTTCGTGCTGAGCGTCAGTTCAACCGCGACTCTGCGCGTTCTCTCTTTGTCTCTCTCACTCTCCGCATCTCTCCCTCTCTTCTCTGTGTTTCACTATGTGTGTGTGTGTTCGTGTGTGTGTCTCTGTTTGTACGTGTGTCTGTGTTTCTGTTTGTGCGTGTGTGTCTCTACGCGGTCTCTACGCGTACGTCTCCGAGTCTCTGTGTGTGTGTCTCTGCTCGGCGTTGACTCTGCGTGTGCGCGCGGCGTGTCTCTGCGTGTCTCTGGGTGTCCGGGCGCGCGCGCGCGCGTCTCCTTTGCGCGTCTCCGCCGCGCGTCTCCTCTGCGTGCCGCCTCTCCTCTGCCCGCGTATCTGCTCCGCGTGTCTCTCCTCCGCACGTCACCGAGTGTCTCAGCGCGTCACCGCGCGTTGAGTGTGTCTCTGAAAAAACGACGCTGCGGTCTCTTGTCAGCAGAAGCTTGGTCAAGAAGCGTCCTGCCGAAAGGCCTTCTGAGAAAGTCAGGCAAGAGCTGCATACTGAAGGGACATCGATGAGCTTTCCGCCGCTCAGCGAACTACATGATGGGCTCGTGGGCCAGTCACACATCGCTGAAACATCTTCGCGTCATTCTTTTTCGACGGATCAGGCGGATGAGCTTGGGAGCCTTGGTGGCGAGCACAGTATGTGGATGCGTTCTGGTGGGATGTCGGTGAGCAAGAAGTTCGCGGCTGCCTCTGTCTTCACGCATCTATGTGGCCATAAGCGTGCTGCTGTCTTTGGCTTCATGCAGTAGAGTTGCAGCCAGCATTCTCACTGTTGGCTACTATCTTTGCTTGTCCGCTTAAGAAGTCTTCTGGGGCCCAGAATAATTAGCTTGCATCACATCACTTTGTGACTCACATCCCTTTCAATCAAAGTTAGATAATCACAGCCTCTGTCTCAACCTAGTGGGTACTTGGGTGCGCGGGGCACAGCTGCGAGCCCGCAGTCTGAGAAAAAGGAACCAGCCGCAAAGAGTGCAGCGAAGTGGTAAGAGCTGGCGGAGCGTCGTGGAGTGCCAAGCTATCCTACATTACCTGCGTACCTATGTATATCAGGCGCACGCATGCTTATACATACATACATATGTACATACATACATACATACACACATACATACATACATTACAGTACGGTACAGTACAGTACAGTACAGTACATACATACATACATAGATACATACATACGTACATACATACATTACAGTACAGTACAGTACAGCTCAGTACAGTACAGTACAATACAGTACAGTACAGTACATACATACATACATTACATTACATTACATTACATTACATTACATTACACTACATTACACTACATTACATTACATACATTACATTACATTACATTACATTACATTACATTACATTACATTACATTACATTACATTACATTACATTACATTACATTACATACATACTTACTTACGTACTTACTTACTTACTTGCTTACATTACATACATACATACATACATACATACATACATACATACATACATACATACATACATACATACATACATACATACATACATACATACATTACATAATTACATTACATTACATTACATTACATTACATTACATTACATTACATTACATTACATTACATTACATTACATTATATTACATTACATTACATTACATTACATTACATTACATTACATTACATTACATTACATTACATTACATTACATTACATTACATTACATTACATTACATACATACATACATACATTCATTACATACATACATACATACATACATACATACATACATTACATTACATTACATTACATTACATTACATTACATTACATTACATTACATTACATTACATTACATTACATTACATTACATTACATTACATTACATTACATTACATACATAACATACATACATTACTTTACATTACATTACATTACATTACATTACATTACATTACATTACATTACATTACATTACATTACATTACATTACATTACATTACTTTACATTACATTACATTACATTACATTACATACATACATACATACATTACATACATACATACATACATACATACATACATACATACATACATACATACATACATTCATTACATTACATACATTTCATTTCATTAACATTACATTACATCACATTACATTACATTACAATACATTACATTACATTACATTCATTACATACATACATACATACATACATTACATACAGACATACATACATACATACATACATTACATACATACATACATACAATACATACAACATACATAATATATACATACATACATACATACATACATACATACATACATACATACATACATACATTACATGACTACATACATACATTACGATACATACATACACACATTACATTACATACATTACATACATTACATACATAACATACATAACATACATAACATACATACATACATACATACATACATACATACATACATACATACATACCATACCATACCATACCATACCATACCATTCCATACCATACCATACCATTACATTACATTACATTACATTACATTACACTACATTACATTACATTACATTACATTACATACATACCATACATTACACTACATGGCATTGCATTACATGACATGACATGAGATGACATGACATGACATGACATGACATTACACTACGTTACGCTACGTTACATTACCTTACATTACATTACAATACATACATGCATGCATACATGCATCCTATTTTGTGTGCGTGTAGCGCGTTCTGTGTGTGTGTGTGCGCAATGTGTTCAGTGCACTGTGTGTAACGTGTGAAATGTGTGACTTGTGTAATATGCGTAGTGCGAGTAATTGCACAATGCGTGCAATGTGTGTGTGTGTGTTTTGCGCGCATTGTGTGTGTGTGTGCCATTCATGTAAGGTGCGCAATGTGTGTGTGGATGGGGGTGCGACGCAGGGTCGGGCGGGGCAGGCAGGGTGCGTGGGAGGGCCAAAGTGAGGTTCAGTGTTTTGCACTGCCCTGCGCGGCTTTGCAGCTCAGGCACATATTGTGGAACTCATCGTGAGGATGCTTGTCGCACATCTCACGGATGCTTCTGCAAAAGAAGCAAAGCAACGTTTGAACAAGCTTGTTTGGCAAGGCATCGATTTTAGCTGGAAGCACAATCTTTCTTCAATCGATTGAAGGCAATGACTAGCTGTCGGGGATGACTGAACGTGAAGATGTAACAATAAACGTCCAATATGTGTGTGGAAGCTCTGCAAAACTTTGTCAACTACAAATTGAAGATGATGGAAGCAACAAGACGAGGGTGCCAAAGAACACGCCATTCATGGCAAAGCTGAAATCGCGCCAAAGTGTCAAATACACTTACGTTAAGTGAGCCAGGAGCACGCCAAAGGCACATGAGCCCGAACTGCATGATAGGAAGATGGCAGGCAGAAGGACGGGTGCACTCCTTGCCTCCGCATTCAAAAGGCAACTCAAAAGGTCAGGTAGGCATCATAGGCATCATAGGTGTCAGGCTGCTTCAAGCGATCCCAGTCAATGACCGGAGACCGCGCCTCAGGAGTAGCCCTCGCAATAACAACTGGCCAAGCCAAGCCCACAACTGGACCCCCGACCTTCATGTTGCACTACCTTCTTACCAGCGGTAGATAGTGCAAAGTCCTTGTTCACAAAAACACTTGCTTTGTGCTTTGCAAGTTTCTGATAGTGCATCAAAGAGCTATGGTGATCTCGGGCCAATGAGAGTCCAGCGGATGGTAGTTTAAGAGCATGCAAAGGATGCAACGATGCATGCAAAATTGCTTTGCCAGAATGCGGAACATCCTTTTGACACTGGGCGGCGTCCCAGAATTACACGTTCCGCTCCCCCCAGTTGGCGGAAATGGTGTGAAGCTCTGTTGGACGCCTGCACCGGGACATTCTGAACTCAGAACTCGAGAACGCAAAGCACACCTCGTGGTGGTCTGTGCTTGATGCTCCATACCAACCTTATTTCGAGCGCACGACGTCAGACTAAGCCATTCGCGTTGCCTCAGACTAAGGCGCAAGTTCACGGTCATCCAGCAAACGTTAAAGACATACCACTTCAAGTCCTTCACCAACTTGACAAGGCAGCTGACAAGAAGCTTGCTGCAGGTCCTGCATGGTCTCTTCAGACAGGCCCCCACGATGAGCCAGCTGCTGCATGTGTCGAGCAAATCTGTCCCAAGCCTGACGACATGATCGAGTGCCATGACTCAAGATTTGACGAAAGCAAAGGGCCTAGATCCAGTCCT